GGGTGTGTGTGTGTGTTCATAGGGTGTCTCTCATGCACACCCTGCCATACACCATGCACGTATACCCCCCTACACACTGCTGTACATGCAGACCCCCACACACACACAACCCAGCCATGCTCCCGTGACACAGTCCCCCACAAACCCCACACACATCCATATGCTCCCACACCCCCTACACCAGGGGTGGGTAATTATTTCAGGCAGAGGACCGCTTACTGAGTTTTGGCAACCCATCGACGGCCGCATGACAGGCAGCCAGGGGTAGATAAATATTGATTTTCTAAATTTTCAAGGGGACCCGCAGGCCAGATAGAATGGCCTGGCGGACCACATCTGGCCACATTTTGCCCACCCCTGCCCTATACCCATCCATACACACACCCACGCCCTCCCCCACACACCCACAGCCCCCGACAAATCTATATCCACTGCCCACAATATACAGAAGTAAGACTTCATTTTAAGCTATTGTACAATCACCTCTACATACACTCACAAACGCATGTAAACTAGGACAAAAGTATTTTTAATATCAAATCAATGAATGTTGTAGATGATCACTTTTTAGAATATAATTTGGTATTTTCTGGTTCTGAGATGGCAAAACCCCTTGCTGAAAGGAGTATTTCTGGGGGACAAGGGGAGGGACTTCTGATGGCAAAGATCAGGGGTTGGGGGCAGGATTTCCAGGCCCAGGGGGCGGAGCAACTTCAAGGGGTGGAGGTACCCATGTGACCGTCAACAGCTTGCCAAAACTCGGTAAGTGGCCCTCTGCCCAAAATAATTGCCTGACCCCGGGCTAAAGAGTCAGTGTCATAGACGTAACTTGTGGGTTGACAGAAATATTGAGGAGGGAAGGCGAATGAACTTGGACATTGCTAAAGGTTTGCTTAATGTTTTCCAGCATTCAATGTTTACTGCTATTCACAAGCATTATTCTCTAGAAGACTGGAAATTGTTTGCAGCCAATCACCCAGAATGCCTTGAGGTATGCTTGTATAATGTTAATTATTACAATTAATGACTTCTTTCTAAATGGAACCTATACTGTGGTTTCTTGGGAAAGTGTTTTGAAGTGGCTCTTCCAGGAATAAAGATTTTTTTTTTGGCTAATCTTAAATGCATTCTGCTAAGTGGCTTGTGCTGATTAAAGAGAGCATTGTTATGAAGTATGCTGCAATAGTACATATATTAAGATTTAGAGGGTAACATTTATATCTCCCTATAATGGAAAGGGAGATGAAGAACAAAAGGAAAAGTTCTTACGAACATGCAATGTCCCAGAATAGCCTTCCTGATGTGTTGGCATGGGTGTGGAGGAGAGAAAGGAAGTGAGGGGAGCCTAAGGAAGAAATGATGGTGGAGAAGTCCAAGGTCCTAGGTAGGACTTCTGTTTCTAGGTGTCATGGAGGAAGAGATCCCATTATGAAGGGAGAGGTCACTTACTAAATTTGGATCTGAATCCAGGCTGAGATTTTGCACGTCTGCAAAGCTTATAGGCCTCTAGGCCTGCTGCTGTGGGCCACACTATAATCCTCGGTCAGAGGAGGCTTCGGGCACTGTTATTCCTACACTGTCTTCATTATTCTGCATTACATCAAACTATAAAGCTAATTTTCCACTCATCTAATTTCCAAACTTTGTTTGGGGGCCTGTAGTGTTACAACTGAACACCAAAACATCCATTGTGCAGTCAGCCGCATGTTGCTGCTCATTGTTACATGGTGTATGCTTCAAAAAAAAAAGATCACTGGCTACTTTAAATCTTCACCATTCACTTCTCTACTTCCATTCGTTTTGAATTATAATCAACAAATTGCAGTTCACAGTCCAGTAACCTGGTTAGCAACATAATTTAAAATGCTTTCTTGTTAGACTGTATTTTTAGTTGTGTAAATAAAAAGTATACAGTTCATTTTATTTATTATTACTTGTAAACAATCTAACAGCTTTTATGTAAATTTGATTACAATATACCAGTACTGAATAGTATGTTATTTAAAGTTTATATACAGTATCGGTGAACAGGTGATTTTTTTGGAAGTTACTGATCCAAAAACTGCCCCTTTGTCACCACATGGGGTTTAGTCCCAGTTTGTGAAGCAATTCAGTGTTCCACTATTTTTGCTTTTCCTCTTGTCATTTTGCTGTGAGAATTGACTCTGTGCTACCCTAGAGGGTTACCCGGACAGGGTTATTCCTTCATGGAAATCAATACCATACTATTGTTCTTTATTCTTGGGAGACTGCACAGGGTGTTTCATTACCTGTGCCTCATTTTGAAATCATATTTTGATTATTATTGATGAGGGGACTGTCTGAAGGCCAGTTTACCAGTTAGTCTCAGCAGCATTTTTGTAAGCCATATTAAGCCCAGAGAAATATCTTTTATCTGAATACCTTGGGGCTTAGCCAGTGGTTAGGTAGGTAGACACAAAAAACACATTTTACAATCTGTAACCATTGAAATAGGGGCCTTAATCATTAGATGCTGATTTGCTCTGTGACCTTGGATGCCCACAGAGGGTCCATGACCAACAGCTGTGGAAGCTATTTTCTGTTGGACTGAACACATAATAAGGACAGATGAGGGAGGCATGCACATGCTTGTTCACTGTGGTAGACTAAGGAAAGATTAATGAACTGACAGACCTGAACCTTACTCTGAGTCTCCCCCAGTTTTTTGCAACACTCTTTTCCCCAGAAAGGCACAAGCAAGTGAAGGAACCTGTGTTTTTCATAATCTGGGCAACGTACAGCTTTTATCCATCACTTTGTTCCCCATAAAGTCCACTTATTCACTAAAGTACTTTACAATTAATTTAAGGAGAGTTTATATTTAAATGGTGCTTATACCAACACTGCTGTACTGAAGAGTCTAAACAAAAGGCAGGCAACTGATTGCTTTGTCTAGATGCAGTATTTGTTGCTTTAGGGTGTTATATGGGAGGAATAGAAACAGATTCATGAGCTAGGTATGTGCTTGTGACTGTCTGTAAAAGCTACTGATCTTTTGTCTTCTCTCTGCCTCTGCAGCATGTAGCCGTGAGTTCAGGCAGTGGACAGTCTGACTTGGAGAGATTGACAAGTATCATAGAGGCCATTCCACTGATCACATACATTTGCCTGGATGTGGCCAATGGCTATTCGGAGCACTTTGTGGAATTTGTGAAAAATGTCCGTGCCAAGTTTCCAAGTCACACCATTATGGTAGGTGGGTAGACCAGGGATGCTGAGATCATCACCAGAATATGCCAAACTGGTACTTGTGGGCATACATTTCTACATTATCTAAGTTGTTCCCCCCTGCCCCCAAGAATCAGATTACCTATATACTTTAATGTGCTCCAGCTGAAGGACTAACCCTAAGTTGCTGCCTTTGTGGTTGTAAAGTTATGTTTCTACACGTGAACAAAGGCTATGCTGTTTTCCTGAGCTCCAGGACACAGGAAGTAAGCCCTGTTCAATACACCCTTCATCTCAGCAGGGCATTAGCTATGAAGCCAAGTGAGGGAAGCTTAATAATACATCAACATTGTCATGACTGATCATTTTAGTAAAAAGTATTCAACATTTCCTCTGGAATTGTAGCTAGAGTCTGAGGTCACGGGCAGAATTTGGACTGAGTTTATCTCCAGCTTCCATCTTTCTTCCCACACCCACCCTGACCTCTCTTTATGGGTTGTGTTGGCTCATCTTCTATTTCCATGTGGCTAAGCATTTGCCCGTGATTTGTGCAGACCTGGCTGGTTGGATGCTGCTGATTTCTCCTTTGTGTTTCCAGTTGCTTAGTCACGTTAAAGTTTAGCTAAACATAGATTACATTTTTATCTGATATTATGGGACTGGGAAAGCCAGGGCTGCAGTTGCTATAGGAATGTCATGCAGTTTTGAATGGGAGGATGCTTCAAATTGAGAAATCAGGGTGTTAGCCCAGTCCTCAAAGTCCTTAGTGGGAGGGCTTTACCCATACAGTGTGCTTGTCTCTCTCGACTCCACCTATGCCATGCTTTGTCTGTCTTTTATGCACTAAGAAGTAGGTATCTGTGGAGAAAACCATGCTGCATCAATGTGTACAGACTCTGCATTGCATCCTTGCAGTAAACCACACCAGTTCTGCTGTCAAGAGACCTGTTTGGCTGAGGAGGGGCTGAGTTTGTGCCTTCCAAAGCAGTAAACTTATTAGAATGAGTAGTAGACTCATACCAAAGCTATTGGCCTTTCTTCAGACCAGCTTGGAAGAAACCAGTTGCATAGGCCATTCCTTCATGTCACTACACAGCTGGGGAGAATGGGCATAAACATCCAATCCCCATTTGAGGTAGAATGGAGTTGAGCATTTGTGTAGCACTGAGGAACCCATGGGGCTAACGTGCAGTGGAAAATGGGGCTGGAGGGGGAGGAGAGCAGGAAAGGAAGTGATTCAGCTTTCTTCCCTGCTGAGAACTGCTGTGTTGTGAATGGGAGATAGTTCTGGATTGTGCCCATAGGTGCATGGGCAACCCTTAGAACAGGTCTGGGACTACAGGCCCAGAGAAAAGGCATATCTGAGACCTCTTTACACATGCAAAGCTCTCAGTGGCTTGGCCAGGATGTGCAGAGAGGGTGGATTTGGCTCTTGAAATTTTGAATGAATACGTTTTAATTTCCAGCAAACAGCAAGGAAGCATCTCAACGTTATTATTATCATCACCATTCCAGTGGCATCCCCAGCTGAGATCCTTGGTATAGGGTAGTGTACAAGTACGTAAGTACAAGTACAGCCTGTCCTCTGAAACAGATGATGATCTAAATAGATGAGGAGCAGAGAAACAGAAAGATGAAATGACTTGTGGTAATACAGAAATTCTGAGAGAGAGCCAGGAAGTGAAACCAGATCTCCCGAGTCTCCGTCTCGGTGCTTCAGCACAGCCATCCTGTCTGTTCAGTGTACCTGTCTTCTCACCTGTTTTCTTGCCCTCTGCAGTTTTTCTGCCTCTGTTATTTAAAATGCTTATTGTGAGACCTATTGCAGTAACAGCACTACCTAATGACACATGTACAATCCTGGCTTTCTATCTCCAATTGCAAGTAGCTTATCTGAGAGCAGCTGCTCTCCTTACCTGCTTCACAGAGATGTATTTCTAATCCTAAATGCCTGCTAATTCAGGAAGATTCTAAATCTGTATATTCCTAACCACTTAATGCCTGTACAACCCTTGCAGCTTGTGTTTGAGCTACAGACAGCTCCCTTGCATCCTTAAAGAAGTTACTTCATATACTGAACCAAAATGACTTGTTGAAGTTGTCCTTGCCAAGAACAGGCCTTCTAATCTAACCTTTGCAATTCGTGGTAAAGCATGGCCTGCTAGTGCCTGTTCTTGGACTGCTGTTGTGTCTCTGCACTATTTCTTTCAGCTTTCTCTGTGCAGTTATAGACTTGAAATGAAAGCTCTAGCAGTTGAAATACTAAGTATAAAAATAAAAGAGCTTTCTCATAGCAGAAAGTGATCTTCAGGACCTTGCAGGCTGCAATGCTTGTTCTCCTCAGGGTGACCCTTCATTCCACAGTCAGCTGCAGTGCGGTACAAAATTGTAACCCAATCCAGGGTCTCGGGGAATATTTACTCCCATGGGTCATACAACGGGTTCAGCTCCAAATTAGGGAGGTGTTGTGCAAGGCAACTCCTACTCACACAGCACACACCACAGTGCTACTTAGTGGCTGTTGCCATATCTGCAGATGGAAGGATGGTTTAGTGTTTAAGAAGGCTTGGCTGTTTCATAACTAATTTGGCTTGCTTGCTTCTTATTCCTAGCTCTGATATAGGCCTTTTCATTCCTGCAATCTTAGAACATGCTTATTAAGGGGTTAAGAATCATTTTTATCCCCATTTTGCAGGCAGGGAAAACAGAGGCAGAGAGGTGTTATAGTTATCAAGCAATGCAAGGACAGATTTGGAAATAAAACCCAGGTCTACCAGAGCACTGGCCTGGGACCCAGTACAGTAGGCCACGCATTGCCCCTCAGAAATTGAATATTGATATAGTATTTTGTTCTTCAACTGCATTTACATCAGGGTGCCAAGGCCTGTTCCTCCTAAAAACTCTGATTGGCTGCACTGGTGCAGGATCAGCTCCTCTGAGAGAAATCTAGTTCATATTCATTAGTTGACTTTTGAAGGCTAGGGCAGTCATTGATTTTATTAGGCTATTTCACAATATATGTTTAGAGAAGAAAATTTTTACTGATGTGCATCCTTAATTTCCCTTGTTAAAATTTTCTTCCAAAATTCCTCAGCATACTGCATTGCACTGCTCAACATAGTTCCTCTCCATCCTTGGTATTCGCACCATGGCTAGATGATATCTCCCCTTACTTGCTGACTGCATTTGGAGATTGAATTGTCCACAAAGGTGGAATTTCTCTTAGGATCTGCTCAGCATATGATGGCTATCAGGATAGTTGCACTGGATATGGCTCAAGTGGTTTCTGGCTGATCTTGTACACGGGGAAACTGTGGTGAGCTGACATTTGTGCTAGATTAGAAGCGAAAAATGTGAAGAGAAAGGAGGTGGCATCTTCTAGAAACCCCCTCCCAGCTTGATTAATTGTAATTTGTCAGCACTCTTGTAGCGAGCTTTCAGACAGCCTGATTGTCCCCCTAAGTCCATGTGAACTAATATTTCTAGTCAGATTTTATGAGAGAGTATCAGTTCTTTACTAAAACTCAGCTGTGTTACCTCTGCTGTGCTCACTACTTTTGCAGGTTATACAAAGACAAGTAATTTTTATAAGCCATCTTGGAAAGATTCCAGCTTGGGTTTAGTGGGCTTTAGACTAGGTCCTATTTGCCCTGCCTTACAGATCTACTGAATGTATTCTGGCATCAAAAAGCGTCAAACCGCATACCAAGTATTACACTGCACACCTGGCAATCTGCTTTAGGGATGCATCTTGTAAGTGCTACACTTCCGTCTGCCTCAGTAAGACCCATATAACATCCAGCACAGCAAGAGGCTTCACGACGGGAAAGAAGCAGAACTTTACTCAAAATGCTAAACCAATTTGAAATCCTTTCTTTGCTGCCAGTCTTTTACTATTGTTGTTATTACTTTTTTAAAAAAATCAACATCATGCAGTTTTGAGAAAAGGTTAATGATCCAGTTTTATACACCGCAGTCTGCTGCGTACTTCATTACTGGTTTAAGTGCCTCAACTGGTGCCTTGCCAGCCTCTCATTTTATTAAAAGGGAACTACAGCACATTGTGAAAAAGTAAATGAAGAATTTCGAGCCAAAATCAGTAAATCACCCAGCCATCTTTGGGCAACTCCTATTGAGTTCAGCAGGGGTTTTGCTTGAATAAGGACTAAGTAAATACTGAATAAAGCTTTTAGGATTTTTCCACCTGCTCTGCCCATATTGATGCTGTCACAAACAACTGCGCAGTATTGAAGAATCCTCATTCAAAGTGAGCAAAGGGGATTACTTAATTTCACAAAGCATCATGTAAATCCCTCCGAGTGTGAATAACCCATCTGGGTGCAACTGCAAGGAATAATGCAGGCGTTTTGCCTTGTGGAGTATGCTTGTAGTTTCCAGGCATGCAGACATGTACATCCATTCTCATTCTGCTATAACAAACAATGTGAAGGGTTTGCCTTTTATAAGTAAATAAACACTGGCAGGATGCAGGGTTTCATCTAGTTTGGGGGGACCGGGAGGAACATTTCTGGCCAGTATGCCACAAAGTAAGCCCTGTCCCCTCCCTAAGTGCCATTCCAGTCAATCCCCTTCCCATTCCTGATCCTTTGCTCTACTCTCTTCTCTGTTCCTAATCCATTGCTCTCCTCCCTGCCTTGTCTGCACTGTTCTCCCTGCCAGATCTGTCATGTACCAGACAAAGTGGCTGTGCATGTCATTTGTGGCACACGTTATCAATCAATCTAATCATATGCTATCGGGTGGTAACTGTCCTGTTGCCCCAGGTAGAATTATTGCTTACCAAAGTTACCTCAAAGGACCCACCAGGGTATTCTTTGTTCTTTCCCAGAATTGGTAATTGTCAGAAATTTGGGGAAAATTAGGTCTTGAAAAACAAATCAGCGGGTTTTGGTCCTGTCTGCTTGTTCATTGACTCTTGTTAGAAATGCAGATATTTTCAGTGTCAGTCAGCTATAAGCAGTAATATTTGCTATGGCAAAACACTGTTTGGCAATAAACCAAAGTAGGCAGAAGTGTTTACTCAACACTAGCACTGATGAAATGGTCCTGAGATTGCTTGTGAAATGGTTGGACCACTGATTGGTATAGACCACTGCAGAAATATTCACAAACTACATGACTGCTGGGACAAGTGCTGTAAACAGCCATTCTCTAGGCCACACCATGCTAAAGTTAGACTTCAAATCATCTTTTAACTGTAGCCTCTTTACCTGCAGTTCTCTGTGTGCGCTATACTGCATAGAAGTATGAAGCAATTTTAATTGTGCTTTACCAGAAGAGATCAAGACTGCCACGTAGGAAAGAGTCTCTGTGCAGGCATTGATTATCAAAGGGAAAAGGAAGCATTCTTTGCTTCCACTGTTCTTTACTTAGCAAACGCTTTCTTGTATAATTTGGGGGAAGGGAACCCACTAAAAGATGGGCTTGAGCTGCAGATACCCCGCACCAAAAGCCTAAATCTTTCATGCTTCAGGTTTTGGTTCAGCCAACTGTTGAACAAGAAGACAGCAACAAAATTGTAGTCTAGGCCTGGTGTAGATTCTGAACATGCCCTAAGATTCCTTTGAAACTTGGATGTACACAATGCATTTTAGTGGACATTTTAGTAATATTTTAATGGAAATGCTGTTCCTTTAGAGGTGAAATTAAATGTTAAATGCTTCCTGATATTTACCTCCTAGTATGAGAGAAGCAAAAACCTAATAGTGTTATCATTATTCTCCACCACACTTGGTTTTAAGAATTCCCACTTACGTCATATTGTTTCCTCTGTCTCAGGCAGGTAATGTGGTGACAGGAGAGATGGTGGAAGAACTTATTCTTTCTGGAGCAGACATTATTAAAGTTGGTATTGGGCCCGGTAAGTCAAACCCTGGGTGAAAAGCAGAGAAAGTGGGTGAGAAAAATGCATACAGAGAAATCAGTGTTTCTATTTTTACTACAGCCACAGCCACTTACCTGCCACATGCTGAAAGGCATTCACGTTATGAGAGTGATTATATTTGACAGATTGGTGCTAGGATGCACACACTGTTCATTTCAAAGTATTATTCTGAGACCAAGATCTATACATGATGGGAAATGCTGTGGTTCAGGACAGCCTGAGTCATTCCAGTTAAGTCTCAAATGGATGTCATTAAGGTGTAGGCAGGCATTTCTTTTGCGTGACAAATAGCATTGTGCAAATCACTAAATGCTGTATCAATAACTGTATGGAGACTAGATTGCCACCTGATGTGACTTCTCAAACTGCTTTGAGATCTGTGGGTGGAAAAAACACTAAAGAAATTCAGAGGCTGAAACATGGGAACACAGGACTAGAAGGGACCTCATGGGTCATTGAGACCAATCCCTTGTGTTCTCAGGCTCCCGTGAACCAAAGGAATCTCCTAAATTGTCACTTTGAACCCTTACTCCTGACTTCAAGGAGCAGTATGTGAGACACGAAGAACACTATAATGTGCCACTAGTAGGTTGATAAGGAGATGTATAAATCAAAGAAATAAATAAATGGTAAACACTAGGAAGATGAGGGCACTACCAGTGCCTTGTCACTGCAACAGGAAGGAACATGGTTAGTTAATACACGATGCTCAAAAGATCCAAGGAAAAGGACCTTTCCACATACTACAGAAGAGGCAAATATTCCAGTCCCCCTAATATGACCTGCAATGATCACTATGACCCTGAGTGAAAGCAAGAGTATCTAGCCAGGAACCTCTAGGTTTCCATTTACTGCCTGGACTACTGTTCTTAATTCCTCATGGGAAGGCTACTTTTAACTCTTGTCATGAGCTGCATGAACAGATAACTAGAACACAAGTGATGCAGTAAAGGTTGCAATTGAGTCCAGGAACATAGGACACAGGAAGTTGTGCCCAGGCTGTGAAATGCCAGCAGAGATATTGAGGTATAACTGCCACAGTACAAGTGAAATGTAATGGTAACAGTGTCCACCACAAAAGATCAAACCTTGATGTTCTTACTCAGGCCAGGGCCTTCCTGATTAAAGGATAATGTAGTAATTCATTATAAAGCTGGAGACAGTGAAGGCTATTTTAAAATTATTTTTCTACCTACTTTTCATAAATCCTGTCAGTGTTTAAGTATTTTTACTTAATTGAAAGATCAGCAGAAATTGCCACTGTACTAATTTTCCTGTCTATACTGACTGGGGCTCTAGGATTTGGATAGCTGTGCATGACCTAGACCCTTTTTGACAACTATAAAATTCTCCCTGTTGTCATGAGGAGCTGCACTGCTCGCATCCTAAATGACACCAGATTGTCAAGAAGGCAGCTTTGTGTTTGAGGCTTACTTAATTTTTAAAAAATACATATTAAAAACACTTCAATAGAGTTGTCAGAGAGAAAAGCTGGTATTAGCTGTTTTAATGATCTCTCTTTTTATTCATTAGAGGTTGTGTTTAGAGTCTCTTACCTTTTGTAGGGCTCAGTTTTCTTCAGATTTTCTTACTTTATTTTTCAAATGTTGGTTGCTCATTTTCTTCTGTCCTCTGCCATTTTAATCAACCAGATGTTGCTGCTGTGGCTACCAGAGCTAGTCAAAGGTGACTTATTCTTCTCACTGTAGAACATGTTGTCAAAATGAAAAAAAGCTTAGCTTTTGTCTAATTTTCTATTTTTCTTATGAATTAGAATATTAAAATATTTCTGTCAAAGTATTTTGAAAATATTGTTGCAATGCCTTATGGAAGTTGTAGTCTCTTACCTCTGTTCCCATCTACAGAGTTCTCTCTCATGATGCATCACAGACCCTCCACCTTGAGAGGGCAAACAGTGCATGATGGAAGTCCCTTGCCAGGATGCATCATGGGAGATGTAGCCCAACCAGGGAGCCCCAGCTACAGAGGAGAATGCGGGGACATTAAGACACCTTCTGGGGTGCACATGCAGGTATCACAGCAACGGTTCAAGATCAAGAGTATTTCAGTTTTTAGACATTCTGGTTTTGGATGGAAAAAACTCTAAATTTCCCATGAAAAGCAGGCACTTTTAGGGAAAACACTAATTTAATTGAAAACCAAATTTTTCAAATGGGGTAGAAGAAGGAAAAAAAATCAGCAGAAAGTTTTCTACCAGCCATACTGGCTACCCTCTTTATGAGCTTCTTTTCTTTTCCTCCAGGTTCTGTATGCACTACCAGGATTAAGACAGGTGTGGGCTACCCTCAGCTGAGCGCTGTGATCGAGTGTGCAGACTCAGCCCATGGCCTGAAGGGGCATATCATTTCAGTAAGTGAGCGTGGTCCATGATAAGCCACCTGCTCTGCAAATCATGGTAGGGCTGCAGAGTCTCCTGCCCAGCTTCTTAGAATTAAGGACTACTCTCTCTCCCCTTTGGTGATTGCTGCTCTGCAGCTGTTGAGATCTTCACAGGTGTAGGTGGCACCCAGCTTCTGTTGCCCTTCACTACTGACTTGACTCCTGTTTGTGCCTTTAAAGCATTCTCTAAATGGGAAATAATCACCCGTAAGTTAACAGAATTAGGATCATTTTAGTATTTTTTTTGAGGTGAGCAGCAGCTCCCATGGAAAGGTGATGCCTCAAAGTAGGTGAGAAAAAAAGGTAGTTGTTTCCAGTGAGCAGGACCAGGGGAGGTCAGCACAGCTGGAGATTACTTGTGGGAATCCTGAGGTAGATTGGTAGCTGCGTCCTTGTTAGGAGTATACTTACTGCAGGCTCAACTCGAACATTGCACCCTCCGGGGGCTCCCATCGCACCAAGATGGAGTGAAGTGAGTGAGGTGTTCACTGCAAAGCATGGTATGGCCTTTGAGCTGCTGCAAGTTGAAAGAGCTCTCTGGTATTTATGGCTTGAGTCTGAGGAATAAGAATGCCTCCTCTTGTATTGGGGCCATGGCTGGAAGTCACGTGCTAAATTTTAGGCGTATTGCAAGGTTGACTCCACTAGAAGGATCCCTTCTGAGGGTATTCATGCAGCACAGGAGCAAGGGGAAAGGATAATAGAAAATAAAGACAAAAGGGGTCAAAATGTTCTGGTAGTATTTATGTAATGGACCAGGGGAACCAAGAATGCATTCAAATCAACTCTCTCTCCTCATTATTTGTCCCCATGCATTCTTCTCCGTTCCCCTACTCTTCTATGTGGGCTTGACAGCAGTAAACACGCACCAGACTAAAAACAACCCATCATTTTGTGACTTACGGAGTTCTAAAAAAGGTGCTGATGGTAACAGCGGACAAGAAAACCATATGTCTGCATTTCAGTATAAAAAGCTCGGTCATTATTAAGTAGTCTTGGGAAGCAGTAATTGCCACCACAGCAATGCTGACAAGACCTTCCTAGTTTTGCAGTCAGTGGTTTTCAGCCTTTTTTCATGAGTGGACCCCTAAACAAATTTGAAAGGGGGTGTGGACTCCTTTGAATTGTAAGTGTGGGTATTCACATTTTCTATTAACATCACTGTAGATTTTTTTTTTTTTTAATATAGAGGAGCCATAGATCCACACTTGCAAATTCCCTGAAGTTTGGGAGTTCTTGGATCTGGTGTTTTGATTTGGGACCAGATCAAGTATTTTTCCAGGGCCTCAGCTGTAATTTTTTTAATAAACTGTATGTAAATGTATTATAAATGTTATAAACTACTTCACTGCTGCTCACTATCATCTTGGAAAATAAGCAAAAAACAGGAATCTGGAATCCCTCTTTCAGTCTGAGAATGTCTCTCCCCCAAATTGTTGGAAAAAATACATGGGGATTTACTTCCATGACTATGCAAAAGAGAGAGGTCCTTTTGCATCTAGATTGTTAGATGCATTTGGGAGGATAACAAGAAGGGTTTGGAGGCCTGACATTTCCCTTCTCTTCCCCTTCCCCTGTTCTGATTGTACAGACGTTAAAGAACAGTTAAGGTCAGAAAGACGATTGGGTCAAATGTCTCGTTCATATGCCCCAGCAGCCCCAGTTTAATGAGACTCTGGGGTTCCATATTTAATCTCTTCTGTCGATCTCATGCTCACAGATGCTGTAAGTCAGTGGTTTTCAACCTTATTTCATAAACAGGAAACAATTTTTAAAGGGGATGTGGACTCCTTTGAATCTTTTGATTGATCATTGTCCTCTTTCATAGACTCCTGAGACATAGTCTGTGGACCCCAAGTGGTCTGCGCACCACAGGTTGAAAACCACTGCTCTGAGTCAGTAAAAATGTAACTTCTCCCTTTCCCCAAGTCCTGGTACTGCACACTCTGATCAGGACTTGAATATTCTAGCTGCATCCTGACTTTTAGGTCATTACTGATGATAAAGGATCTACAAGCTGAATTTAGCAGGCAGTTTTGTTGATGATGCACCTTTTTAGCCATTTTCTAATCTTGCCTATGCTTTTGTACCACACTGGTCACTTTGGTGGTATCTGATTGAGCAGTCTGCAAAAATCCAGTGGGTGAAAAGGACGGTTTTTTCTTTGGTTCTTTCTCTCCTGTCCACAAGAAAGCAGAGAGGTTTTTACTGTATTTTAAGTTATGGCAGAGCGTTGGGTTGTTTTTTCATCCTGCAGGATCACTCTAACCTCCTAACTTCCCATTGAGGAAAGTTTTAACGCCCTGGATGGGCAGCTGAAAGAGCTCTGTCTTCTACTCCCTTGCATCACCCCCTTGCTGCTAATAGTTTCATTGTCCCTCAAGGTAAATCCTGATCACAGGAAGACAAAATGGGGGGTCCTTAAGATAGCTCGGGATACCCACTGAAAGCTTTGAAAATCAGGATCTGCCATGAGATGCTGTGTGGTGCCACTCGGTCCTGCCTGCTTTGGGGGCCAGAGCAGCCCTGTCATAATTTAGACACCCCCGAGGCCTGTCTAAGATAGCAGCCTCCCTGAGTTCCTCATAGCCTGCGTGCTGCTGCCCACTGCTGACAAACCCTCCAAGTCAGGGCTTTAGAAAGCAGCCTTATTCATATCTGTCTACTACAGCACCTGAGCCAGGGGAATCTCCTCCATCCCAACTGGAGATTCTTTATACCGTTCCAGGGCTTTTACCCAGCATAAGGGTTTGGAGTAAAGGTGCACATCTCATCTCTTGTGAGACCTCGTGATTGATCCCTAGTATGCTACTGGGCCTTGGTTTAGTGACTAGAAGAGCAGGCTGTGGCTCTCACAACCCAAGAAGCTCTGCAGATGAATTACCACATTCTGAACCACCCTCTGTTCTGTTTTGGTTTTTTTCCAGCTAGTGTCTCTTGCCCCACGCAGTCAGGAGGGGACAAAATCCATGGACTTCCAAACCTGCAGCTGGTAGGAAGGAGTGTAGATATAGGAAACAGTGGTTTCAGCAGTTGTTCTATTGATATTCAGTATCAACAAGAAATGAAGATGAATTCCAAAACTATACACCACATTCAGAACCTATGTGCAGACACCCTTGACAGTTGCCAAGGCTGTGATACTGGCTAGTGTGTTGGCGTGTTTTCCTGCATCTACCAACAACACTTCTGCCTCACTTTGGCTTATCCTTTATGAGTTGGTCTTCATCTGGCTTAAGCATTGGTAGAGCTGGGACTGGTGCTGTTTGCAAATTAAGTAAAGGGAATCTTACTCAAAGAATGGAATGGAAAGTAGCTGATCGTATGACAGTGATGGGTTCCCTCTTTGAGCTATATTCAGAACAGAGTAGACTTGAGCTCATTCTTTTGAACTGTATTAGTGCAGTGCAAACTTGAGTGAACTTGTTTACGTCAGTAAAGTGAGCACATCTGACTCACGGGGCAGATATGTTGTATAAGAAGGTGCCAATTTCTACTCGGACATACTAGGCCAGATCCATTTCTAGTAATCTCTCATCAGTGGTACATCAGAGTTGAAGTAACTTTTCTGTCTGAGTTATTTTTCTGACTCTAACACAAACTTGAAGGGATCAAAGCTCATCTTTGAAATGAATCTTTCATAATTCACTTGAAAGATGGGAGGAAACAATGTCAAAAATATATACTTTTACTGGCCCCTGCTGTTTTGTCTGAGAGCCAGCTGTCTTGTTTTTCACTTTCCCTGCTGCATTAACACGTTGGGCTTTTGAAAGTATAAAAATAAACTGCAGTAAGGAGGCTGTTCAGCAGGCAAGTTCACCCCAAGAGGCTTTTTCTTGAGAGAAACTTTGTTTCTTATAGTTCACTGCCTAGAGTGGAATGAAATGCCATAAGCTAAGGTATACCATAAGCTAATGTTTACTGATACGTTTATCGTCTCACAGTGCCCCATTATATACCAGAACCGTTTGCCTGCTGGAGCCCTCCCGTACTATGTAAGAAAGATGACAGGGGAGGTCTTCACTCCCCCTCTGCTTTTACCTCCACCAGACTGGTTTTGATTTAAATCAAAACAATTTTAAATCTCTGGTCAGGAAGCCTTGATTTAATCATTGTTTCTACAAAAAGTACATTCTTGTTGTTTGATATCCTTTATTCATTTAACTTCTTGAAACTTTGCACTTTTAGAGAAAGGCAAGGGCTTGACTGTGTGTACACAAACTTGCAGAGAAACAATAGGGCTGAAAGGTGGGTAATCAGGTCTGTTATCTCTCATCTCCACCTACTGCTGTTAACAAGGATGTTATCTCTGAAGACAACAAACTCCCTATGCCTGAAGAAGGGCGTTTGTGCCTGAAAGCTTGCAGAGAACAACTTTTCCAACTATCTAGTTGTTCTAATAAAGATATCACATCTCCCCAAAGAACTGTGTCTGCCTGTGATCTCTGGAGACACAAATCCACAGTTTGAGAACTGAAACTAAGCATCACAGAGATGCTCAATGGAGTCCATTAGACTGGGCACTGAGTCCCATTGGGTAGAGTGGTTTTCTTTAACCTTTACTAAACTATAGAGGAGCCTCTGGGAACCCCATAAAATTGGACCAGTCCGTGGCCTGTTGTGACCTATTTATAACACTTCTAAAAAGGTTGCATGAATACATTGTCTCAAATAGTATATAATTAAAAGTTATAATCCCTACTCCATGGTGATATCTTTGAGCTTTAACATATCTTAAATGAAAACTATCTTTTATAAGTTTATTTTTTAAAAGTGTCTTAAAAATAAAAAATATGATTTTTATTCACCCTGACCTCCACACAGCTCAGAGATGAAATTCAGAATTTTGCCCAAACTGCATACCATCTCTGTGTGCTAATTATATCTGTGCAATATACATATTCTTCGCATAGTAGAATACTTACATTTTTGTTGGTACCAGAGCTAAGGCTTGTGTACCATGTATTACTTAGGTTTACTGGCATATCTTCTTATAAGATCCAGCCTCCAGTTGCCTATAACTTTGTCAGACTTCAACCATTCTGAATAAAATTGTCCACTCCCTGAAGCTGAAGCTTTTTGGTTTGGGTTTTTTGTTGTTGTTGAACATTTCAGTCAATCTGGTTAAGGTGCATGAGGCTAGGAAAAATATTTTGTTCGGTTTTGTCCTTGTTAAAAATGGTATTAACTTTATTTATTAATGTATTCATTTTTAAACTCCAGCAGACTCATGCTGTGGAATAGAGGTTTGACTTTGGCAGGGAGTTGTTCTTTGTTTAAGGATGTCCTTACTATCTGCTGCCCCCCAAAAATCTGCCCAGATTTGGCTAAATTATAATTTCCATGTGGACTGAGGATGCCCTTAGCCCAGGGCTGAGGAGGATTTTCCTTATAATTCTGGAGTGCTGTAGACCACCCCAAGTCTGGATCCTGGACTGAGCCTCAGCTCTGAGAGCAGGGAGCCTGACCTCTTCTCCTGGTCCCTGACAGCCTAAAGGGGGGCATCTGTATGGTTTAATTACAGCTGGGAGGAGAATGAGACTAGGGAGAACAGACTAGGAAAAAAGAATGAGAGAGGTGGGGAGACTGGGACCTGCAGCTGAGGGGGAGGGGAAACTGGGTCTGGGAGCTGGGGTAGAGAAGCCTGGGACTGGTCGGGCAAAGAGGTTGGGAGCCAGGAAGGGGAATGAGGACATCTGTGGGGGGGAAACTAAGATATGAGCAAATGGGGAGGCTGAGACTGGGTGTGTCTACATGTGCACTTTAATGTGCATTAGCTTATTTTAATGCATATTAAAGCATCACAAAAACCATGCTCTTTAGCTAATGTGCATTTTTCTAGTACCTCACAGTGGAAGTTCGGGCAGCCCTTGCCATTTGCAGGGGATATGTTCGTGTATCCCCCATGAATAGCAAAATCTGCTGGTGGCCAGGGTTGGGGGGCATGGCTCCAGCGACGGGAGCGCAGCGGCAGCAAGCGTGGAGCTCCTGAGGAGCACCTGTAAGTGTATAAAATGCATTTAAAATGTGGGTTTGGCATTTGTGAATATTTGAAACCGTGAATGCCGAACCTGCAAACAGTGAGAGTTTCCTGTACTAGGTTTAATACACATTACCTAAAGCACATTAATGAATGTGTAGATGTACCCACTGAGATTTAATGGGAGGTGAAGGGGAGGGGACACCTGTACGGTTAGGAGCAAGAGTGGATGGGGAGAACCAGGTGGGCATCAATGTGATGGAATTTCTGGTTTTTAGATTGGCTTTATTTTAAAGGAAATAACATACAAATAATGATGTCAGGACATCAAAAAAGTTATCCAGCCAGACACGCTTGTGTTAGGACATGCTGCAGTGCCTTAACTTGGTTCCACTGTGCATATGCCTTAGAGTGTATACTTCAATTACAAAATTTGTGTACCTTTTTCACAAAGACCCCCTCTGTCTGATTCAGGGCACAGGATGGCATGGTGGTGGGGATGAATAAGTATTAAATAGTGAAGTATTCTTAGGAGGAGCCTCGCTTCATTTGCTGCAGAAGTTAGAAGGTGTGCAGTGAGAGGCAAGGGAAGACAGAAAAAAAAAAGGAACATTCTCATGATGAAGGCAGTTGAATGGTGCTGCTAGACGATACCTACCTGATATGGTGCAGGACACTTAAAGGAAATGTTTCACTGGGATCTCTGGGGGTGTTCTGGTGTTTTGGTACCTGACTTGAGACCCTGGGTTATGATTTAGGGAGCACCCTGAGCTGCACCTGAAGTCAGCAGAAACTGTGCTTGGACCATATAAAAGGCCATAAACTGCTAGATACTAGCAAAAATCTGGTCCTGAGCATCTCAGATTGGGCATCCAAAATGGGCAAATGCATCTGACATTAATTTTTATATGGCTAAATTCCCATCTGTAAAATAGGACTAATACCACCCTTTCAACTCTCATGGATACCGTGAAATATATTTTCTAATGTTTTTGAAGTGCTCATATACTACACTTACAACACCAAAGAAAAACTCATGAGGAAATTTATAACCGACTCCACAGGGCATGGTCTTAATAGTGTGAAGTAAGAGACATAATGGACAAACACTGAACAACCAGGAAAAAAGAAAATATTGCAGAGCTGCTCATTAAGTGAATGCTGTCCACCTCTGAGACAGGGGTCCTTTGGAAAAAGTAGTCTGTGGACAGGTAACTAAAGAATGCTGTATTAGCCTACAATAGCTACAGTAGGCTTAGCAGGATTTGATTTTTATCAGTAAACGTTGATAAACATAAGTATCACCTCACCCTCACAGACCAACAAAAATATTTCTGTTGTTAATAATCAACATTTATAGGGGACATAAAAATGACAGCTAATGGAGTGTGTGACACCAGGGGGAGTGGTCCTATAGAATGGCTGACTGTACTTGGGACTACAACCCCCAGGAACTCCAGGGGACAGAGAACAAAGGAAGAGGAAATGTGACAAAGTGGAGGAGGGAAGCTACAAGTAAGCAGAGCCAGGACTGATGGCAGCTCTGCTGTTCGGCTGACAGCAGTCCTACGGTAGTTGCATTTGTCATGAATAAATTGTCTTTCCCCCCACAGCCCTAATTTTGTGTAATCCTGAAAATTTTAATTGAAAAAAGTGAAGTAAATGCTAAAAAAAATAAACATTGGTATTATTCACTGAAATAAAAATTGAATTCTGCCAAGCCTACTATTGTAATGCATATGGACCAAGGGGCTGAACTGGAGTTGTATGGGCACCCTTAATCATGGTACTTTTTATGTTTGAATGCTTGCCTTTGCAGTAATATTGTCTAATGTCTTTTGGTGTGTTTATATTTTATGTTCCTCCACAGTGTATCTAGCATTATCATACCTCCCTCTGACTCAGCTTCCCTTTCTGTGAAATGAGGATTATGAATCTTACCCCCTTCCTTTCCAAGAATATGATGAATCGGTTTCACTTAATAGAAGAGCTATGAAACTATACAGGTCATCTGCAGCTTATCAGATAGACAAGGATTTCCAGTAGTACATTTCCCCTCTGCCTTTCAGTGTACAATAAACTGTTGAAAATCATATTTAAAATGTCAGTGGTATTTCTTGGGCAGAGGATGAACTGAATGTTCTGAGAGGTTTTCCTTTTCTTATTTCTGTGATTCTGGCAGTGTACGTTTCTTCTTGAAACAGGAGTATAAGTAGCAGAATATGTAGCAGAGGAAATAAGGATTTTTAAAAAAGGAACCATAAAGAATCTGGGACCCTGAAAAATCAGTTAACCTGTGGCATCTTAACTGTACACAGAGCTCCCTTATTTCCACTACTTCCCTTATGCCATGCTGGTTGTAACTTTTGAACCTTTTGGGCTAGTTCTTAGGAGTTTACCATTTTATTCCAAATTTGTATTCTGCAAAGTGTTTGCCCTGTGTGGTTATCCTTGAGGCCAACAGCAAATACGAGTTCTCTGCTGCTCACTGATGTCTATGTTGTTTTCCTTTCTGTAGGATGGAGGCTGCAGCTGTCCAGGAGATGTCGCTAAAGCATTTGGTAAGTATGGTCTGTGGTCAGGTTTTGAGGAATTGAGTCATTCCTGATATAACTCCACTGCTGTCAGAGGTGTTGCCAAATCTGACAGAGGTAGCACTTTGCTGTGTTTTGTTTTTTGAATTTGCCATGCACCTGGCATCATCAGAGTGTAAGGACCTTCCGTTCTGCCTACCTGCTTACTGTTCTGAGTGGGCAAAGGGAATCGGTGGCCCTATGTGTGTCCAATAAGACTGTGATCATAAACATAGCTAGTGCCCTGGAAAAGTTGTTGGTGTGTCAGTTGCTTAGCTGAAGAGCTAGGATATTATGTGTACCAGGACTCAGAAATCATAAAGAAGTAGGGCTGGAAGGGATCTCCAGTGGTCATATAGTCCAACCCCCTGCCTGAGACAGGATTGTCCCTATCCAAGCCATCCTATACAAATTCATAAGCTAACCTCTTAGTAAAACTGCTGTCAACCCTGAAACAGCAAGATGTAACAGCCTAGCCTAACCCTGCCATGCCACAGGTAAAGCAGGGGGACTATAGCAACCAAAATCCTCCTTGTGTAAAAGGTTTAATACATGCTTAAAAGATCCCAGATGGAGAGCCATGGGTGACTGGTGCCTCCTGAGTCGGGGGGGGGGGGG